GTTTGCAGGTTGTTGCCTTGGATGTAGATTTGCCTGTAAAACAAGCTTTTCATATTCTGTTTGAGCAGGTATGCTTTTATGTTTTTCAGAGGTCTGAATCTGTTTTAGGATGCTTGTGGATTGACTTTAGATCATTTCCATGTATCAATGTTTTTATTTATTTATCTTGTGGGGGGAAGTTATTTGGAAGTTGGGGTGTAAGAAACATGTTCTGCATTGCCATTGTACCATATCATCATGAAATAAAAATTCTATAGAGTTTTTAAAGTGCCATTGATTACAATATGATGTTTGAATTGGATGAAAGCATGCTAGTGATTTAAACAACACTCAGGTACCCTTAGAAAAAAAAAAAAGAGTAGATGGAAGCAGTCTTGCAGTTTGTTGCTTAAAATTGATTGCAAATTTCTTATGTTTTGTTTCCTTTGAAGAGCTTGTATAGTCATTGTTTAATAACTAAGCTGTTTCCAGGGTATTCCTACGGCTCCTCTTTGGGACTTCTGCAAGGGTCAGTTTGTTGGAGTTCTTAGTGCTTTGGATTTCATATTAATTTTAAGAGAGGTATGTTTAGGAGTGTGAAATCAAGATCTTTTGCTTGAAGCATGTCTTTTAAGTTTTAAGTGTAATTTTCTTTTCATTTTCATAATGACGGCTTTAATTGTATTAAAACTATCCACTGAAAATCTGCATGATGGTGGAAATTGTGGATATGTTAACATGGAAAAAAGGGCAGGGAAGAGTAATATAATGTGCTAGAGGGAGGCTTTTTTCCCCTTAAAATTCCTATATAACTCATAAACCTTTTTTTTTTTTGGTTAACCTTTATGTTATTTGAACAAATTCAAATCCATGAGGTGGTTTCAGAACAGTGGCATTATTGCTGTCGGTACCACATGAAGCTTCATTATAGTATCTAATCAGAGGATCATGCCTTTTGTGTGTTTCTCTTAATGTGAACTGACCTTTATGCACAGCTTGGAAACCATGGATCAAATTTGACAGAGGAAGAGCTTGAAACACACACCATTTCTGCATGGAAAGAGGGAAAGGCATACCTGAACAGGCAAATTGATGGGAATGGGAGACCAATTCCAAGGAATCTTATCCATGTGAGTGTTTCATGTGGCATTTTTTTGAGTCTCTTAAATGTAGGGATCTAATGTTTTAATGCATTCCTGCTCTTTCATGTATACTGTTACTGTCAAAACTGAACAATGAAAAGGGTAAGTTAAATAATAACAAAAAATTAGCTCACCCAAACAAAAACAATGAGCTAATAGGGTACTTGACAAGTGAATGGTAAACTTGACAAGTTAAACAACAATTTGTTTGTTGATTTTTCAACATTCTAATTTGGTACTTCCATAGGAAAGAGAGATACTTAAATTGCAAAGTAGATAGTTTTCATTGCAGATAATAAACTTCGAGAGATGACATTTGTCCAACTAAGAGAGTATATAGCTGGCTGTTTCCCTGCTCATATTTTATTCTTTTTTATTCTAAATGTGTCTATGCATCACTTGTTGTCTTTGTAACTTGAATTACCGTTCTTCTTTTCAATTTGTGCTAGTGTGGTATCATGTCTCAAATTGTTATCTTTGGCATGATTGCAAGGATTACCATACTTCACTTTGTCAAACACACATAAATTTGAATGACTTGCAGTTTGGTGCCCTTGACCATCATGTTTGTTCATTGTATAGGCTGGGCCATATGATAACCTTAAAGATGTAGCTCTGAAAATTTTGCAAAATGGGGTGGCTACAGTTCCTGTTATTCATTCATCTTCAGAAGATGGTTCATTTCCCCAGTTGTTGCATCTTGCTTCACTCTCTGGAGTACTCAAATGTGAGCCTTTGTGATAGTTTTCTGAGTGGTATTAACTTTAATTTTTTTGGCTGCTAGGAACATGTTTTTCCCCTAACCAATAGGTCTTTATTTTTAGGTATATGCAGGTATTTCAGACACTGTTCAGGCTCATTACCTATACTACAGCTGCCAATTTGTGCAATTCGAGTAGGCACATGGGTCCCCAAAATTGGAGAACCTAACAATCACCGGCCAGTAGCAATGTTGAGACACAGTGCTACCCTCAGTTCAGCATTAAATTTATTAGTTGAAGGTATGCTTCTTGTTTCCTTTAAAAGTGTATGAACTATGACGTTGAAAAAGATTATTGTTTTACATGAGAAAGGCAAGGTTGAGTTGGGTATTTCTAGTACTCTTCTTCGATTGATTATGATTAGAGACTAGGAAGATTCTAAAATGCTTTCTTGTTAATTGGTCAGACTAAAAAACAATTCTTACTCAATTTCAGCTCACTTGTATCTCTAGCTGAGGGCTTAAAGCTCCATGTTTTGTAATCTACAGAGGGCTAGTGCAGCCTTTCATTTGAATGACCTTGATGTTAATGGAAGATGGGAGTAGGTTATTTGTTTATATACTAATAGATTGTTTTAGCAAAACTCTTGAAGAATAATTATCCAGTGGCATACATTTAGGAATTTGTGCTTTAAATAAAATTAAAAAGGTGCAAAATCAATCTGGTTTGAGATAGCCTTTTTAGAATTCTCTATCCAAGTTTAGCTTCTGGTTTGATATCATTCTTGTATCTTCATCAGTATAAAGTGTTGTGTATTCTAAACTGTACATGATATTTTTACCTCATATCTCTCCTTGTGGGTCACAAATAAATCAAATGATCGGATCTATTCAGGTGTTTCATTCATCAATTTCTTCTTCTTCTTCTTCTTCATTTTTAAGAGCTCATATTCTTGGAATTATCTAGAGTTAATTGAGATGTTATTGTCCATGAACATATTTCAGTTATATCTTCTGTTGCAATTCATATTCTTTTGATATGGTTTTACTCTTTGTCATTGCAGCTCGAGTAAGTTCAATTCCTATAGTTGATGATAATGACTCATTACTGGATGTTTATTGTCGGAGGTAATGGGCTTTCTGGAAGGGTTATCTGGCCAGCCCTCAGCAAGTGATTTGTAATCTTCGTGTTTCTGGGGTATTATAGAGTTAATAGTTATTCATGATCTTTTTGGCAGTGACATAACAGCGTTGGCAAAAGACAAGGCCTACACACACATTAATCTTAATCAAATGACCATTCAAGAGGTTAGCTCTCTAAGTGCCTATTTTTGAAGTTCCAAATAGTACCACTGGAAGGCTTTGAGTGGTGCTCTATTAATAACCTATCCTATTTTGGTTTAGTTTGATATAAGGTGATGTGATTGTCTGAGAGTGCACAGTGAACTGGGACCCTTTTCTGTCTTTTTGCCTAGCTATGAAGTAGGAACTTGGCTTCCATTTTTTTTTTTTTTAATAATTTTCTTTTATTCTTGATTAGGCATTGCAGTTGGGACAAGATTCATACTCTTCTTATGAGATGCGGAGCCAAAGATGTCAAATGTGTTTGCCCTCTGATTCATTGCATAGAGTGATAGAGCGGTTGGCAAATCCAGGTTTCCTTTTTTTCCCCCCCTTTTTTAATATGTCTCTTACATTCACATTCTTATTTTTCAGGATAATGTGATATATATATATATATATATATTTTCTTCTGGGCCAACTCTGGATGATGTTATCAACTGTGAATTTTTTCTATTGTTCTCACCTCAGCTTTAAGCTTTTGCCTTTACAATGGATGAATAAAATATGTATTTTATCTGTCAAATTGTTGACTAAGCAATATTCTTCAACTAGGTTTCTTTTTCTCTGTGCATCAGTTTTTAGTTATTTCCCAAGCACCGTTTCTTTCATATTTGATTCATGATCAGGAAACCTACAAAATGACAATATTATTCTGTAACTCTGTTTTCTCAGGCGTTAGACGTCTTGTTATTGTGGAGGCAGGTAGTAAGCGGATAGAAGGCATCATTTCACTCAGTGACATCTTCAGATTCTTGCTTGGTTAGTCCAAGGCAGTCCCAGAAGATAAATCTACTGGGGGTTTGTGCAGTGAACATTGGACTCTCATTTCATACTGGGTACTATCTCCTGCCCTAGTGTCTCAGACTGCAGTACTTGACACGTCGATCTGGTCCCCACCACGTTTCTTTTGAAATATATTATTGGATTAGCCTCTTGCTTCGTGGCTTGGTTTTTTGGAATCCAAGGCAAAAGGAAGAGGCTTGTAATTTGGGATTTAATTGTCATCTAAATTT